TGCCGCGCCGTGCTCGCGCGCCCTGCCATGCGGCGCCGCGCCGTGGCGAGCGGTCGCGCGAGGTTGCGCGATGCTGCGCTTCTGATGCGCACTGTTCGCGCGACCGCGGTCGTCGAGATCCCACAATCGGCGCGCTGGCTCAATGCTTCTCGGTCTTGAGCGATCGGGCGCACTGTCGTATCCACGCAGCTCGCTTGGACATCTGTTCGAGCGCGCGCAAGGCGCGCGCGGGGCGACACTCGCGATGAAACGGCTCCGGCGCGCGCTCGTTGGCCACCAGCGCCGCGGAAATGAAAAAGCGTTTGGGGCGAAAAAGTGAGCGCGATTACGCGGCCTTCCAGCGCGTGATCCGATCTCCAGCGGGAGAGCGATGCGTGAACCAGTTTTTCAGGCGGGAGGGCGCGTGCTAGCACTATTTCCGTAACCTCTTGCCTGCCCAGTCCAGACTTCTGACGGTCCACGTTGTGAAACAATCGCGACGTCGTTCTTCTGAGTGCACCAGAATCACGGACCCTGTCTTCATTGATCTTCGGGCGTTGCATTTTTTCACCGCCGGCGTTTTCGCCCCGTTTCAGGCCCCAGGGCCGACACATAATTAGCGATCTGGCGCGAAAGTTGCAGGCTAATGCGCTGGTCGTGAGTTTCCGCGACGTCTTTTTTTTTCGCGACGTCGGATCTCAGGGATACCCAAAACAGGGATGCAGTTTTTCATCCTCTTGCGATGACGGCTTTCATGGGGGGGAGGGGGAGGAACGTCACGATTCGCGCTGACCGTCTGGGAATTAGGTACCCAGCCCATTCCCAGTCGCCCCCAGCGCAGATCTCGGCATTACCAGGGGTTGGGGAGGAGGGGGGGCGTCCCCAGTAGAGGCAATGATCGCGATTCGTGAAGAACGCGTTCATGCACACGGTGTTGCGCGAGTCGAAGTCTTTGGCGTTTTTGGGGCCTGGAAGTCTTCTTTGGGTCATTTCGCGGCGACTCGGGAATCCTGGGTGCCGCCCCGGGCTCTCATGGGGCCGTTTGGGGGTCTTCCTGGTTGCTTGAAGCGCGTTGTCTGGGCCCAGCAGGGGCATTTTGGAGGTTCAAAAGGCCAAGGAGCATACGACGGAGTCTTCCGATACATACATGCACACATGCACATTCAGATGTATACATTCCTTTCTAAATACACATGCGTATGCCTACGCACATCCAGAGACGTACAAGTGTATACGCACATCTGCGAAAGGTAACTCAGACTCATCTGCCTCTGTATGAGCGGGTCACTATCGATACGCAGGACCGCCGCAAGGGACAATCACGGGCCCCCCCACACGGGGCAGCCCCGCGGGACGATCGCACAGGTCAACCGCAGGACCACCGGCGGGGCGTCCGCAAATGAGCCGCGGGTTGACCTTTGTGCCGCCGCGGCGGGCACGCGGGGGGGGTGGGGCAACCACGGGCCTTGCCTTCCCTCGCGCCGCGCGCGACACGGGCCGAAGCCGCAGCGAGAGTGAGCCGTCCACCTCTTCGCCATCACCGCCCTCTTCGAGGTGGATGTTTTCTCACACGATGTTTTCTCACACGCTGCCTGGGTTGGTCGGAGGCGCGGCCGACCCAGGCAGCAGTTGGCTGCCGAAGTGTGCAAGACTGCGCAGCACATCTGAGGCATCCCGGTGTTGTCCTCCAATTCCTCTACCTCCTCTGTCTCGTTTTTCGCATTTGTTTTCGAAGAGTTGCCAATCGCGCGCTCTTCTGCCCACGCGTCCCTCTGGATGTTCGGCTTAGTGGTGGTGGTTGTGTGCCTGCAAAATCAGGTGGCACCGTCGCCCTTGTCGGGCTCTGGCCTGATCCAGTCAAAGGTGCGGAGAGGAGAGGGTGCGAGCACGTGCAAAAAGCAGGGGCAAACATTGAGTGAACGCCCCCCTTGGCTGACGGCGTCAAACATTCAGTGAACGCCCCCCCTTGGCTGACGCCAAACGCCTCTTCTGCCCCTCCCCTTTCCGCCCTCTGAGACTCAGCAGACTGACTGTCGGGTTGCTTTGTCCTCGAGCTGCGCCTCTCGCGCTGCCCGCGAGCCTGCTCGAAACTGAGTCCTCTTGAGGGGGCAGCACTCCTGATGATGCTGACCTGACCCAGCAAGGGCAAGATCTCCGACCCTGAACAATAAACCTGACGCCGATCTGTGCCGCCCTCGCTGGCGTTGAGACGGAAAAGGCATACAATTGGACAGATGCCCACGGAAGATGACCGTCGCAACCGTGCCGAGGACCAGGAGGGGCAGAGCACGCATTCGCGAAAGCCACTGTGCTGGTTGTCGGGGTGCTTTGCCTCCCCCATGCGGTTATTCCGGATGTTGTTGCTGATGCCAGATGCCGACAGCTCACCATCTCGTGTAAACCGTGGGTCGGCGTTGGTTCCGAGAGAGCCTCGTAGAGTGTCGATTTGCTTGTCCATCTCTGGCACGAGGTCTTCGCCTGCTGGATTGCCCGTGGCATCCCGAACATGTTCCACTGTTGAGGTCCCTCTCTGCTGATGCCCGTTGGCGAATGCGACAGTATCAGATGAACTGCTTCGCGAGAGGGCGACTGAGGTGCCCAGCGTGATAGGTGAAACGCTCGGAATGGCAGCTTCGGTTACTCTGCTGCGCCAGCCGGGCCGCCTGCGGGTCGTTCGGGTTGCCGATGAGCTCGTCCCGATTGCGCTTGGCGATGGGGATGAGAACTTGGAAGTCTCAAGACGCTGGTGCGCCTCAGAGACAAGTCACTTCCAAGTGTCGTGCTCTCCTCCTTCCACGCGAGCATCAGCGGTCCTGGACCGTAGCAGCCGCAGCTGGAGTTCAAAGTAGCCATCGCCGCCCTCCTGCCGCCGTTGCCAAGGGGACTGGGACCGCCCCCGAATACTCGGCTGAGAAGGGCCAGGGAAATAAGCTGAGGTCTCGCTTTCCGCCTCGCCTCGGAGCCCATGTTAGCGTCGACATCCGTGAGACACGCCCGTTTTAGCCGCCGCGTGCAAGCTCGCCCTCGATGCCAATCCACGACTCGCGGAGGCTGGGCCCCTCGGTGCAGAACTTGAGCCCAGGCGCGGGGCTACTCCTTTTTTCTCATTGCCACATGTCTGCCCTTATACTGAGCTGCTAGGTCAGGCCTGCATCTGTGCCCCGCCCTTTCTTTTCTCTCACGCGGACGCTACCGCCAAGATGTTTAAGATCGCCCATGGGGAAACACACAGGAGGAGCAGGAGGACGAAGAGGAGGTGTGGTTTCTCGGGATCTGGAACATATGCATCACTATTGGCTGCTTTTCCACCCCAGAACTTTTCTGAGGGTCGGGGACGACGTCGGGGTGGTGTGGTTCACACTTTTCCCGTTTGCCGGGGGAACAACGAAACTCTGAGAAGGCCGTTCTTTTTTCATTTCCCCACACGGGCGCTCCGCCGAGTTTAGTTTCCGGGTCATAACTCGGGTCTCCGGCGGCCGTTCGGGACTATCCGGGCATCCCCAGAACGCCTTCAGCGAGGCGTAGCCGCTGGAACGCTTCCCGAGGCCGGACGATCGCCAAGAAACTACGAAAACGTTGGAAGACCTCGTTCACGCCAGGACCCCGTACACGCAAGGATCTGGTCTCCTGTGCCAATGTCGGTGAATGGCCAGGAAAAAGAGGCGGCGTACAGAGTTGTTGGTTCCTTATAGCTTCCTCCTGGGGTCGGCGCCGACGACGACGACGACGACGACGACGACGACGACGACTACGACGACGACTCTCGCCCCCGACGACGACGAGGACGACGACGACGACAACGACGACGACGCCCCCGACGCCCACGACGCCGATGACGACGCCGCCGACGACGACGCCCCGACGCCCACGACGCCGACGACGACGCCGCCGACGACGCCGACGACGCCGACGCCGACGACGACGGCGGATCCTCCGACGGAGGGGCCAGCGCCGCCCCTCGACGCCAGGAGGGCGAGCCCCCGCGCCGCCGCCCCCCGCGGGAGGAGGGCGCCGCGCCCCCGGCGAGGGGGCGCGCGGGCAGCGAGGAGCCGCCCCGCGGGGGCCTCTCGGCCGCCGTCGTCGTCGGCGTCGGCGTCTCGTCGTCGTCGTCGTCGGCGTCGGCGTCGGCGTCTCGTCGTCGTCGTCGTCGGCGTCGGCGTCGGCGTCGGCGTCTCGTCGTCGTCGTCGTCGTCGTCGTTGTCGTCGTCGTTGGCGTCGTCGTCGGGGGCGTCGTCGTCGCCGTCGTGGGCGTCGTCGTCGGCGTCGGCGTCGGCGTCGGGCCCCCCAGACGGGTGGGCTGCCCCAGGAGGCCTCCGTCTGTTCGGGGGCGACGACGTGGGCGAAACGCTCAGCGGGGAGCCATGCGCGTATCCAGGGTCGCCGAGGGCCCACGATTTCGGCGAGGCTGCCGGGCGAATGCGTGTCCCGCCATCCTCTGGGCTATTTGCCCCTATCGTCGGCTCCGACAATAGGGTCATGAGGCCTCCGGCCTTCTGAGCAGGTCGGCCTTGTCCGAATGCATGGGCGGCTCCTCAGGAGGGGCCTCGGAAAAGTTTTGTTGCTTTTTGGAAAGGCCTGCCCCCTCTCACTTCCCCTGGGCGCGCCGTCGATTTTGGGGGTGCTCGGTACCCGTAGCAGGCTTTTGGGCGTGGGCGAAGGTCAAGCAGTGGCGAGGCGTCTTGGATTGCCTATAGTCCCACCGTGGAGAAAATGGGGTCCTAGTAGATGGGGTCGGCGGAGCACGCCGCATCGCCTGATGCATCGGCGATGCGGTTCGATATGAAGCCCGATTTTCTCCGCGCGGACGTCGCCGATGCACCGATGCACCAGCGATGCAGCGATCCTCCGACCCCTCTACTTGGACCCCATGTAGGATGCCTCTATCCAAACGGTGCGGCGCCCACACCGCGTAGTGAGCCAGTTGGGCTTCGGACGTGTTCTCACTTTTTCGTCGGTTCCTGTAGGATTTCGGACATTCTCGTCGGTTCCTTGGGGTCGCCCTGCCTCGGGATCGGGGGCCCCAAAGAGCCGGCCTTGCGCTCATCCATACTCCCAAGATTGGCAAGCCCCAAAGTGAGGCGAATCGTAGGGATGCGCCCTCAGAAACTGATGGAATCGTCAAGATCGGCATCGGGATGACGCGAGGCCAGCTATGGTGATACAAGGGTAGGGGTACGTTACCGGCTGGTTGTTTTCGGACGCGTTCGTCCGTTCTTGGGGGTCTTCCTGCCTCGGGGTGCGCTCCAGCAGCTGCGCCTTGCCCACGTCGTTCCGGGGATTCTGACAGTCCCGAACGGGCCGCCGGAGACCAGAGTAATGGCATCACACCAGACGACGAGGACCACACAGTGCGTCACCACCTACCAAGCCACCCCAACCCAACCCTCAGTTCGCCCTCCAATTCCAGCGGGGGGGGGGGCGGGGAAGATCGAAAAACACATCTGGAACCCGTCCCCCCCAAAACCGGAATTCGGGTCTTCGGGTTGGGTTGGGGTGGGCTGGTAGGTAGTCAGCGTTCGGAAATTGGAACATATACATTACCAGCGGCGGGCTGTTTTTAGTCCCAGAACTTTTCGAGGGTCGGGGACTACGTCGGAGTGGTGTGGTGTATACTATTTTCCCCGTTTTCTCGTGGAAACAGCTAAACGTGTATACACCAGGATCCCGCATACGCCAGGATCCGCTTTCTTGTAGTGCGGGGCCGTAGAAGACGTCGGTGTATAGAGCCCGGTCCCCTAAGTGTGGTTGGTAAGTCGGTGGGGACTTCGGGGCCACCTCACGGTTGTGGCACTCGGGCCGTTCCCCGCGTGACCTCCCGGACGCTTGCGGCCGCCGAGGCCCTCCAGCCATGCGTGGACGGGCCGCGCGGAGAGGCCGCTGCGGATGCCGAGGCCACCACGCGGTCCGTCGCCACACGGCGTGGGGCTCCTCGCCTCGCAGGCCGCGTGCGCGACGGTCCTGGCATCGCTCGGACGCGTGCATGTTTTTTTTTCTCGGCGAGGAACCCTGGAGGAGCGTCCTGGACCACCGAGCCACAACAACAAAAAATAACCGAGCAAAAAAAACAAAAAACACGCACGAAACCGACAAAACTGCACAGGGAAGGGACGCCCGAGCGATGGCGGGCGGTCGAGGCCCGAGGCCCGAGGTCTCTCCGGGGCGCGCGTCCCGGGGCATGCCCGGGGGCCGCAGACGTGGCCCCCGATGCCTCCTCCTCCTCCTCCTCCGCCTCCTCCTCCTCCGCCTCCTCCTCCTCCTCTTCCTCCTCCTCCTCATCCTCCTCCTCCTCCCGAGGAGGCCTGGCCCCCTCTCGCTGCCCTCCTGCCGGGGGCCGCAGACGTGGCCCGACGCCCGCGGCCGCCGCGAGTCTTCGCCGGGCCGCCTGACCTCAGGCCCCTCGGGGTCGACTAGACGTAAGAGTGACCTTTCGCCGGAGTGACCTTTGGTGCGGGCACATCGTGAGCCTCGAGACGGGGGTCAACGCAAACGGGGGTCAGCCAGGGCACCAGATCCTGCAGGATCCTGCGAAGACCCCCTCTGGCTGACCCGGGTTAGGGAGCCGCTCGTGGCCGCGAGGCGGCCGCGCATATTGGCTGACCCGGGTTTGCGAAGATTTGCGTTGCAGTTTTTTTTCTTGCATTGCAGTTTTTGGTTTCCTGCTGACCCGGGTCTGGATTGACCCGGGTCAGAAGATCCCCGAGCACAGATGGGTCCCCAGATGGCTGAAAGCGAAGCAGGAGCAACGGCTTGCGCGCCCGGGTTTGGTCCCTACGCGGCCCCCGAAGAGGGTCGGTCTTGCCCAGGGTCGCTCCTGCGTGTAGCCGACGGGGGTCCACGTCATGAGGAGTGCACGACGTCGGGGGCCCCGGTGCAGGGGCCACGTTCGGGGGGGGGACGGGTCAGATTTCCGCGGCCGTCGGGCGTCTTCCCTCCTGTCCGGGATGCTGGTCTCAGCGGCTGCGCAGGAGAAAAAGCATTGCGTTGGCATGCACGTTCGAAACTCCGCGAGGATTTCTTGGAGACAAGAGGATAGTGGCATCATGTGACGTATCACGAACAGACACAGCAACGACAACTAGTGGCGATGCCTTTCCACCTGCTGAGCTCTGTCAGTCGTGCAGTAGCACCAGCGGTCCGAATGCAACGCGTTGTTGGGCAGACAGTCTGGGGCGACGCCCCACACTTTGGTGTGTTGAGGAGGCCCGTCCTCCCTGGTTATCACGCTCTCCTCTCTCCTCGCACCTCTCCTCCCCACTCGCTCCCGCGGCCCGGCTGCGGTCTCCTGCGCTCCCATCCACTTCCCTCACCTTGCGGTCGTCGGCGGGCCCTAGAGCTAACGGCTCTGGTGGCCGTTGTAGACTCGTGAGGGGTTACCAGTGCGCATGCGGTCCATTTGTTGGCAAAAGAGTAGCGGCCCCTGCTTTGGAGTGGCCGCGCAACCACTTCAGATCAGACTGGTCGCCAGATTCTCAAGGTGCGTGTTGCAAGAGGTATTCCGTGTTGGGTGTGCCCTTTGTGGGC